AGTGGAAGGCGAAATCGGAGGGGAGGGCCACGGACGTGAAATCGGAGCTCCAACCATGAAATCAAGCCGCTCAACGAGCTCGTTTTCAGTCGCATGAGTCGAACATGAGCTCGACTCGAGTTCAAGCACGGGATTGTTTCACGAGTCGAGCTTAAATTCGGCCTGATTTGAGCTCGACTTGATTCATTTGCACCTCTCGTAGAGATTGACAATGAAATGAGTGCTTCTAATATCTATCATGTGAGAGTCATTGCTTCAATAAATAATGTATGGAAAAATGGGAATCTCACATCAATAGAAACTCCATCCATGAATTTTCTGAAGATTTCAAGCTTCAAGTTATAAAGAGTTCCTTCCTACCCATTAGATTGTGCATTAATTCAACACAGTAAATAAATAACATTAATAACATCAAGCTAGCTATAATGGAATGGCTTTGTTTCTTCCTATAGCAAGACAGGCAATCAAAGCTGCAATGAGGAATAACATCTTCAATAAAAGGGTCAGCCACTTCAGGCTCCATGTTAGGCCTCTCTCTCTCTCTCTATGTATGTAAAGATATTTTTTTTGTCAAAAAAAAAAAAAAAAAAAAAAAAGAAAAAAAGAACTGATTAAAAAAAGAAGTACATGGCATATCAAGTTAATGAGATCGACGTCATGCAAGCTTTAATGTCAACCAATTCTAGTATGGTATTAGTAATCAATTATGTCAAAAGGATTGGGTGAGAATTATCAATGTTATGGATAAAAACATAAAAGACATTAAATAGATTAAGGTCCCAACGGACAAATACAGAGTCGCCACACTTTATTGCTGTGGTTGGAAATGGCCGGTGGGTAGAATTGCAGTAGTTCAAGCTTCGGACAATTTACTACCCCAGTCCTGGTGCCTCATGCTGTGCTCCTCTACCTCTTCATCTTAGTACTCTCTCTCTCTCTCTCCCCTTCTTCTTCTTCTTCTTTATGAGAACTATAGTTAGGAAATGGCCATGAATATAGCTACCCACAAGAAGTAGTTCATAACTTCATGGAAGTTAATGTTGTAGTTGTGGAATGATAATGGTCACGTGGTGCATGAGAGAGAGAGAGAGAGAGAGAGAGAGAGAGAGAGAGAGAGAGAGAGAGAGAGGATCAAATAGTCAAGAAAGATTTGAGGAGAGACTAAGAAAGTGATACTTCTCACATACGCCATTGATCACAATTTTCAAGCTCAACGGCTAGTTTCTTGGGCATGCAACAAGCAATGCGTGGGAGCTTAATTGGAATGGCTCTAACCAGGCAGAGTCTCAGTGCAAATCAATTAATTAAGCAACCTTGAAGGTGCCATGGAATTACACAAAGGTGACTTAGATTTTATTGGAAAGAGTAATATTGGGGAGGCTAAAACATAACTCAAAAAAAGTTTCCATGCATTAAATTATGGCATGTGGCATGTACATATGATATATTTTCATCCATAAAATAATTTTTTAAAACTATGAATTAGCAGCAGATATTTTTCTATTACTAGTGAGAGCATTAAATATATTGGCAAGTAGCTAGAGAGAAAAGAAGATGCTGAAGAGAGATGAGAGGATTTAAAGCATTTAAGAATAGCCTACTTGTCATCTTAAATGCTAAGTCTGCCACCTTTTAATGACTGGTATTTGATAAATGACATTTAAGAACCCTATTTAAGTGCCCACATCTCCTCATACTTGGCTTTATTAATCAAGGAAACCTGCTAGATAGGTCTCTCGATCTTCAACCTCCTTTCCCTTCCCGTAAGTCACAAACTCTTCTCTCTCTCTCTCCACCTTCCTCTCACACCCAACCCTACATGCATAATCGAGATATTAATTTAAGAGAAAGTTGCCCTTAGTAGAAGAGAAGAAGAAGAAGAAGAAGAACAAGTCTACAACTGGCTGGCATTACTCCTAAGATCTTTTCTCCTTAGAAAATCATGGATCATCCGGAGCTATCTTTAGGCCCATCGCTATCTTCCTTCTCCGAAAGCACCAATACTTCCTCTTCTGAATCTGAAGCAAACAATCGTAAGAAGAGGAAGCTTTCAAGCTGGATGCAGCCCAACACTCAAACTAGCATAGATCTCCAGCTGAATAATCGCCTCCCCTTGGACTGGGAGCAGTGCCTAGACCTCCAAGTAAGTTCCCTCTCTCTCCTCTTTATAAATATATAAATATATATAATTGTGGTGGAACTAGAATTTCGAATGATAAGAGGTAAGAGGGTCTAATTTTTAGAATTTAGAAATGGCAAGACGTACGCTTATAATACACAATCATCAGAGAATTTAAACCCAGCTCTTAATTTTTGTCGCAGTCTGGGAGGATGTACTATCTAAATAGGAAAACTCTAAAGAAGAGTTTGCTGAAGCCAAAGGAGCAGAAGCTAGACCTGGATCTAAACATATCAAATCTTCCAGACTGTGAAAACAACAAGAACAGTTCTCTATCGCTAGAAAACACAGAGAAGCAGAACAGCTGCAGCAATGGTGGCTCTGCCATGGTCGCAATAGTCTGCCTCAACTGCCACCTGCTTGTCATGCTCTACCGGTCATCTCCTTCATGCCCAAATTGCAAGTACATGCACTTGCTGCTGCCAGTGCCATCACCACCGCCAAAGAAACAGTCCGTTAAGTCACTTGAAACACTAAGCCTACTCCATTAGCTCACCATATTGCTACATATGAACTTATTGCTAAGAATAACTATTTGTATAAAGATCATATAGCTATGAAGAAGTCTTCTCATCCATGACTGTTTTAATTGTGCTTTATCAATGATGACTACTGGGTAAATTATTAGATGCGGATAGAATTATTTGATTTTTTTCTGTCTATAGTAAAAGCGTAGTTTTGAACGCAGCTGCTGCAGTAACTGTACTTTGATTCTACTTTTATTGTAGACAAAAAAAAAGTCCGAATGATTCTCTGTGTCCGATGTTTGAACTTAATAATTTTTCTGACTACTAAGAGTAGCGAGTGGAGTAGAAATGCTACGCAGGCCATGCTCATTCCTTCATTTTCCCCTGCTTTTACTACAAGCATCTGGGACCCACATACTGTCATCTGAGGTACTACTGGCATTAGGCAGCTTATAAGTGCAACGTTCAGGTGAGGTCCAATAGCATACATGTTCACTGGGTCCAGAATGATCAGCTATGGATAAGATTAGGGGGGGGGGAACATGTGTCTGTGCAGACGGTTCTCACCCCGTCTGCACTCCGTACCTAATAATTTTTCGCTTGGAAGTGCAACGTTCAGGTGAGGTCCAATAGCATACATGTTCACTGGGTCCAGAATGATCAGCTATGGATAAGATTAGGGGGGGAACACCTCCCTATGCTGATGCTACATATCTCTGCTGGCGTGCTTGCAGCTCTCCACAGGAAAAACGTGCGATGAAACTCCTAGATATTATTTTAATATTACACTACCTGAACAAATATACAATTTTGTGTTACAACTTGATTTAAAAAAAAATTAGATGCAATATAATCTAAAATAAGGTTCTTAATTTCACCTTTTTTTAGTATGAGAAGTGAGAACATTATCCTTATGGTTCACAGTTGCATTTTTCTCAACTTTATACAGATTTACACTATTTTATAGTAAAATCACTATTAAGTAAATATATACATGAGTGATACTAGCGGGCAAATTTTGTGAGAGATGACTTGTGACCCGTGTGAAAATAGAGAAAAAACTATACTTATAGAATCTATGAAGAAGTGTTCAAGGGCTCAACTTTCATTCAATAAAAAAATATAAAAGATTCAAAATATATAAAATGATCTCAGGATGTAAATGTTCGAAATGCTCTGCTTCACCCTTTATCTATAGGGATCCAAGCAAAAAGAATATATAAATAGAATAAAAAATATATTACTTAAAGATCCTTTTAAAAGAGGTAGTGCCGAATGACCTTTTGATGATCTCATTCACAGGTGAGTTCAGTAGTGTTAAGTACACCTGGGTGAGTCAATAAACGACTGCTGAGATGAAGGGATTAATGATGGGTTATGTTGAAGGCCTTAGATCTCCTTTGAAGAGAGGAGAGTGAGTTGTTTGTGGGAAATGATATATCTAGGTAGAATGGTTGCGGCAAGATGAGCTAAAAGCCGAGTGAGTAGGCATTTTCTTGTAGTTGAGTTGGATGTGCATGAATTAGAATGCTCCTCTGGAAAAGAAAGAAATCATGGCGACCGTCTTTTCATGCAGTGAGTGCCAAATTACTTGGTTGGATAGGCACAAAATTTCATTCAGTCAAAATATGTAAAATATTCAAAATAAGTGAAAAGATCTCAAGATGTAAATGTCCAAAATACTTTTTTTCACCGTTTATTAATGAGGATCCAAGATTTACAGAAAAGACTATATAAAAAGAATAAAAAATACATTGACTTAAATGACCTTTAGTACATCGCTCTAGACATGTCACCTCCGGAGTGGTTGAAAGAAATAAGTGCAAAGGTAAAGTTATAAAGGGGATATGAATACTAAAATAAAATAAGAACTCTTATTTAGATTGCTAAAATGCACTAACATATCCTAATAACGAGATATCCTGCGTCAGACATATACAAGATGCATGGCCTTGCTCGACATGCACTTAGCATATGGGAAAATTTTCGGGGCAAATTTTTAAACTAAGTATCATTAATAATTAAATTATAAAATTAAATACATTGTAAAAAAATTAAAAATAGATATAGTCGACTATTGAACGAGCAACTTATTTGCCCAATAAAAATTTAAAAATTTTGTTGACCTCTGTGTGAAGAGCAAAAAGAGAAAGAAATCATAAAAATGACATACCTGGTATACGTCGAGAAGCCGCTCAAATCTCCTGAAATCCCGCTTAAATCCTGCTAGCGCTACAGTGCCGTTCGCGTCGCATCCCGTGATTTCTGCTTGAAGTCCGCCTCTTCTTCCCTTCGCGTCTATAAAACGACAGCAAAGCTCTCGTTATAAGAGTTTCCGCTTTCTGCTTCTTCCACATGACCCTCCTCTCTTACCCGTCGCTGCTTGCCATTTCTCCTCTCCAATTGGCTCGATCCCCATCCAGTCGCAACCTCCGACCCTACTCCTCTCCGACAACCTCCTCCCGCCCCCTTGTTCCGTTCGATCCAACCAAGAGAGAGAGAGAGAGAGAGAGAGAGAGAGAGAGAGAGGAGTCTTTCCCCTACCTTAAGCCGTCGAAGCCTCCACCCGCGAGCTCCAAGCCACGAATCCACTGTGCCGACTGCCCTAGCCGCCTCTAACCCGCGACCTCTACCTCCCTTGGCGACGTCCCGATTCTTTTGTTTCGGAAATTACGACATTTTAATTGGAAGTAACAACGGAAGCTTGCTCGTTTTGAAGGTAACTTTCTCCCTTCAGCGCGCTTCTTCGGCCAAAAAATCCCCTTATGCCGCTGAACTCATGAAAGCAGAGAGCTGGATTTAGGCTTCGTTTGGACGGTTGCAGTTGTCGATAAAGTAGGTTGTGAAGTTTTTGTCCGTAAAGCTGCTTTCTAAAGTTTTTTTTTTTGGAACATTTAGGCCATTTAAGACAAACTCACACACACAAAGCATATACAGAGACTCGAACCTTAGACCTCTTAGTTGGAAGCCTTAGCTCTCAACCAATAGGCCAAGGAGAGTGGTGTATGCTGCTTTCTAAAGTTTTTTTTTTTGGGACATTTAGGCCATTTAAGGCAAACTCACACACACAACGCATATACAGAGACTCGAACCTTAGACCTCTTAGTTGGAAGCCTTAGCTCTCAACCAATAGGCCAAGGAGAGTGGTGTATGCTGCTTTCTAAAGTTTTTTTTTTTGGGACATTTAGGCCATTTAAGGCAAACTCACACACACACCGCATATACAGAGACTCGAACCTTAGACCTCTTAGTTGGAAGCCTTAGCTCTCAACCAATAGGCCAAGGAGAGTGGTGTATGCTGCTTTATAAAGTTGTTGTACAAAAATCAATACATTTTGTTTGGGTGGTATAACTGTCGAGTTACAGTGCTGCTGCTGTATGACAACAAATTACCTTGATATCATTTTATACATTTAGATAAATATAATAATCAACTAACATTTATGAATTAAAATTAATTAATTTTATCAAATCTTTAATAAGTTTATATATCAAAATACTATAAAATTTTAACTTAACTTTTTCTAATTTGGCAGGATGTAGGGACTGAGTGTCGGGCCTTGAAGGTGGTGGTCCGGTGAGGTTTTGTGGTGGTCCGGCGAGGTTCCTGCGGTGGTCCGACGGTGGTCCGACGAGATTCCTGCGGTGGTCCGGCGAGGTCCGGCGGTGGTTCGGCAGTGGTCCGGCGGCTGTCCAGGAGGAACTCCTTCCTTCTCTTCTCTTCTTCTCTCTCTTGCTTGGATCCTCTCTTGTGAGAAATGAGGGCTCTATTTATAGATTTTCTAGAGTGGCATGACCCGTAAATAGGTGTGAGATCAGGGGCGAATAGGGAGTGGTCAAATGGACGGCCGATATTGAATCCTACGATCGTGCACCGTTCATTGGACATTTGAAGGCCTTAGTGATGTTGGAATTCTGTGATCTTGGGCTCGTTGGATTCGTCTCGTCGAGCCCTTCGATTCGAGTATAAGCTCGTCAAAATCGGAGTCCGTTTGGTAACTCAAATTGCGGTTTGAACCCTCCAACAGCACTTTGAGCCCTTGATTTGGACTCATTTGGGCTCGGATTGGGTTGATCTTGGTGTCGTTGAGTTCGTATTTCCGAGATGCTCAGTTTGACTATAAGCTCGCTGAAATCGGAGTTCGGGTGCTCCCAAAATTAATTTTTGTAGTTTCCAACTAGCTTTTGCCTCGAGATTCGTGCCCGATCAAGCTAATTTTTTGACGATGTATCAGTTGCCCCCCTATTTTCGGATATCGAAGTTCCAAAGCTTTGAAATCCGAAAATATTGCTTACTGCTTTTGGGAAAATTTTTTAGGTGATTTGAAACTTCAAATTAACTCGATCTTGAGCATGGAGGTCTCATTTGGCTTTAAATGTGTTAAAAATTAGTCTGGTGCATGATGCCAAACTGCAGCGATCTTTTTCAGAATTCTCCTCCTTCCAATTAAGTAAATCACCAGTTAGATTTTAATCTGACTAAGCATGTCCAAGGAACAAAAACTGTGTTCAAGCACCGAGTAGAAAGAAGTTATTTGCCTAGAACATGAAGGCTTCATTGATAACCTGTACTTTGGCATGGGTAAGCTACTTGAATGAAGCCCACGTCAGGTAAGCTTTAAGAATTCAAGTAATTTCTGCATTTATTCCAAGTATCCACAAGAGTGCACATAATGATATGGAAGAAAAGAAAGCAATAAGTCATAACATACAATAATAGGCCATAGTATTTCCGAGGTGGCCTGTCATTGTGTATGGCTGAAAGGCACGACCCAAGAGGCGCATGACTCTTTGTGCAGTCGGTTATTATAACCGGCCTATATTAATTTTTTTTTGAGTGGGTCCCGCCGATTTTTTTTTTTTTAATAGAGCGGCGGGGGACAGCCGCTTTTTTTTTTTTTTTAAAGGGGGGGGGGGTACCCCCCCTTTTTTTTTTTTTTTTTTTTTTTTTTTTTTTTTTTACCGCATGGGCGGTTTTCTTTTTGGCAAAACCGTTTTTTTTTTTAATAGAGCGGCGGGGTACAGCCGCCCCTTTTTTTATTTTTGTGAGAAACCGCATCGGTCAGTTTTTCTTTTTGGCAATAACCGCCTCTTTTTTTTTTTTTTTTTTTTTTAATAACTCCTCCAACTTC